GTGCCTCGGGGCGGGGGAGGGGAAGGTGGGGGGGCTTCGAGGTACAGGGTGGTAATAAATTCACTTTTAAGTAGTTAAGGTGTGTAATAGGTCACCAAGATAGTTTAAGCGTGTGACTTTTCGAGACAAGTTCAAGGTGGAATCTATGTCTTTTCCCTTTGTTTAGTCAATATTAATGCCTGCTTTCTCACATGAATTATGACTGAAAGTTTGAGTTTATTCTTAGTTTTGCTCGGAATTTATAAGCTTCCATTGTTTATATGTTCATATGAACCTGTGATAAGTTGTAAAGGTTGGGCTTAATGAAGTCATCTTGGTTGAGTCTGTTTGCTTAAGAATCAGGTCGACAAGACTTCTCCTTCAACACATGCTATATATGTATACACATGCGTTAATAAGAGTCTAAGTTTTTCTTTTTCAGCATTTGGCTTTTTGTTTGATTAAAACGCATGGTAGATTTTGTATAACTTTCCTGAAAGCTTTCAAATGCTCCATTTTTTATGTATGAGTTTGTTTCTAAAAAATGGCTCTGTCCCTGTTGAATCAAGGAGGATACCATCGACTGAGAGATATAAGAATGAATTGTTGTCTGCCTACATATTTGAGATCTTATCTATTGGGATTTTCTTTACTTTGTTGGCTTCATTTCCAATTTCAGTCTCTTCTCTATGAGTAAGTATGTAAGTTGGCATTTCTGTTTTATGTATTTCGAGATTGTCCAATGAACCAAATGATTGGGGATATATAGCTAATTTATGTTCTTGATCACTAAGGTAAGGGCAAGATTCAGTTTTCTTTCTTAAGTCGTTATTGATATGTCCATTTCTTTGTGCTAACAATTTCGAGCTTGCTGTGTATTTGAAATATGGGTGTCCTGTTTGAGTAGTATGTTTGCTTCAGTTGGTTCTCTTATTACTCAAAGAAGTAAAATAAAATTGAGATGTCTGTAAGCTGTTGGAATGTGCTATCACTCTTCATCTCGTTTGTTCTTTTTCTTAGTTTATGTGCGATCAAAGCTGAAAGCTTGGGCGTTTTTTCTCAGTTTTCCCTTCCTGTTTGATTTTTTTTTCTAGTCTTAATGTACAAGTTTGGTTTCAAGTTATCATTTTATCATAGAACCTCTGATTGTATGTGTCCTAGTTGGAGCTTTTTGAGTTTAGTTTACACAATATGATATGAATTCGGCCTTAAGTATGGTGTTCAGATTAGTGTATCGTTTCTCTTTATCTAATGTTTCTTAGCAATTCAGTAGCTTTCTCTGATTCTATCTTCTTTGGAAAGTATTTTCATTAATCTTCTTTAGTTAGCTTCTTTCCTGCCATGTATGTTATCTCTATTTGTGTGTCATAAAATGTTTCCTTTGAGTTCTGCATTAGTCATTTCTTTTTGCTTAAATGGAGATTGCTCAAGTTCTATCACGAGTTTTTAACTAATATGTAGACATTCTGGATATTAGCCTTCTTGATAGCAAAATGTATTGTTATTTAGATATCTGCTTATTCCTTTTCTCTTACTTTGTTTCGCATGAACTCTCTTCAAATGAGTCCTTGGACTCCCCACCTCAAGTTCATGTGTCAACCTCCATCAAGTTCGAAAAGGGAAGCTAATATTATTGGGTTAAAACTCAAATTAGTGGCAGCAGCTAAGTAGCGGAGTAATAGCAGTCCCAAAAGGCTGGAAATTAATTTGATCATTGCAGCAGCAGTAGCCCAAAGGGTTAAAAAGAAGAATTTTTTCGGACTCTTAAGTCAGATAATAACTCAGCAGCAGCAGGACTGATTGCTTTTGGACCAAAAGTCCAGATTCTTTCAAATTTTATATGATATGATATGATGATTCAAAAGATAAAAGGGGTAATGTTTCCAGATTCTTTATTTTAACAAAGGACAAATTACTTAACTACACTCCTTTACTTACCTTAATATCCATTTATTCCTACTTATTTCAAAAATTTCAAAAATCCCTTATTTACCTATGTATCTCGTGCACAACGCTATGTATCCCGCTATGTGGAAATGTATCAAACCTAATGTATCATGTGCACAACGCTATGTATCCCGCTATGTGGAATGTATCAAACCTAATGTATCATGTGCACAACGCTATGTATCCCGCTATGTGGAAATGTATCAAACCTAATGTATCCCGTGCACAACAGTGGAATGTATCAAACGGTATGTATCCCGTGCACAACGCTATGTATCCCGCTATGTGGAATGTATCAAACCTAATGTATCATGTGCACAACGCTATGTATCCCGCAAACATCATTTTTAAGGGATTTTTGGTAAATAGAAAACTAGAAGGGATAGGATGTTATTTAGTACTTATAATATGTGGTTTCTATAATTTATACTTTAACAAATCCACTGATGTTGATATTTTGGCTTCTTTATTAATTTTTTATTTTATGATTATGGTGTCCGAATCAACTTTTGCACACCTTGACTAATTTCAAGCTATACTTGTCACCTCACACGACTAATTTGGCCTCTTTTTACAAATTGTACATATTTCTAAAAAAATCTCATCACTCTAAGTCTTGACTGAAATTTAATTAAGAAAAAAAGTTAGTGGGCGGGTCAGGGGTTAAATTGGGCCGGAATCAGTCCAACAAGTCAGCCCGACCCACTTGATAGATATAATTTTGAATTGATTTGGATTAATTTTGAAATAAAAACATATGTTCATTAGTATTTTTTTACGCCATAAATTATACATTTCTTTTGGCTGCTAAAATTGAGCTATCCATCAACCAATTCTTGCTATATTTAAAACTTGGTCAA